TGCCTCCTATTTTCCCTGCAACAACAACCCTGTGAGGCGGGTTGGGCGAGAGAGAGGGACTGGCCCAGAGTCCCCCAGCCGGCTTTCGCGCCAAGGGGAGGCCCAGAAGTCTCCGCCTCCCGCTTTCTGGGCCAGCCCCTTCAGCATGGCACCGAACTGGCTCTCCGCAGTGTGCCGTCTCTCTGTTGATTCTGCGCTGAACAATTCAGTCCCGTGAGTTAAAGGATTAAAGTCTCGGCGCGGATCTCTTCGCTGAAAGTGTGCAAAGAATGCCAGAGGGGAATCAAACCTTTGCAGTTGGGCGATCTCCTGCCCTTACTCAGAGCTACCTGCGGTTGTAGCACGTGGCCAGGAGGAGGAGCAGGCCACGCGGCTTCACTGCAGAGGGTAGACGAAGCCCCGCACGGGCACTCTGGGGCTGCAGAGGCAGTTGAGTTTTCTGTGTCTTCTGACTGCCATCTGCTGCTGCTCTGGATTTTTACCGGCCAGGTGAGGTTGCCTAGTTATACACCGGTGCAGGCCATGACATGGAAGTGGTTTGCTGTTCCTTTCCTACAGCCCTGGCGTTTTCCATGCGTGTCCACCAGATCTAACCCTGCTTCCCTTTTGGAGATCAGCAAAGCTGGGTGAGATGTTGTCACCCAGCCAAGTGCCTGTCACAAATGGGGTGCGAAAAGCGGGGAAGGGGACCTAGTTTGGGTTCTTAGACCTCACCAGGTTCTTCCTTCCTCTCCAGGAAGAGTGCCGCTGGATACCACCTAACGGGGCTGTTTGTGGGCTCGGAAGGGACCCTGGGGCTCATCACCCAGGCCACGCTGAGGCTGCATGGCATTCCTGAGGCCACCGTGGCGGCCGTCTGTGCCTTCCCCAACGTGCAAGCGGCCGTGGACAGCACCGTGCAGGTCCTCCAAGCCGGGCTCCCCATTGCCCGCATTGGTGAGTAGGACCCCAGATGTTAGAGGGGACGGGGAGCTGGGGAGGCAGGAAGGAATTGGGCGGAGAGGGGCTGCAAGATTTCCATTCACGTGGCTTCTCATTCAAATTTGAGGAAAGGATTGGCTTTCAGAAGGCTGCTGTGGGGCCCTTGGGCTTGCTAAGGAGGAGATGGCCATGTCTGGATGCTTGCAGATGTCTCATTGCACAAGGTACGGGTGTCTGCAGGGAATGGTGACAGTCAAGTCGGCAGCCATGGTGCAACTGAAGCTTGCCATGGATGCCACCCTGACTCTTTGGACCATACCCTGCAGACTCCTCTGGTACAACCTCTTGTCCGCAACCCCCGGCCTTTCTGGTTTCCTCTGTTTCTGCTGAATCCTAAGGAAGATATCCTCCCCGCAGAACTCCAGAGCACCTGTGGTTGGCAGCAGAGAGCTACATAAAATGCCTGCTCTCTACTGCCACCTAGCGATGCTCTGGGTCTTGCAGGCCAGATAGGGCAGCTTTACCTTTGGGGCTTTTTCAGACTGAGAAGTTTGAGCAACCAGGGAGGCTACAGAGCAGTGAAGAGAAATGTCTCCTTGAAAGCAACAGCACCACCAGCAGCCCTTCTGCCACCTCTAACAGTCGCGCAAACCCCAACCTGCCCCCGTGAGAAATTTAAAGGAAATTCTCAAGCACCCTGAAGCAAGAGATAGAAAAAAGATTTTGGAACAGCTTTAGGAATTGGCTGCATGTTCCCCCAATCTCTGGAACTCATGGAGCCTGTGGCTGGCTGGCAGAATATCGGATTCTGGGCTGAGGCTCACTGGAGGGGAATTTGGATGGTTGTAGCTCCAACCCAGCTGGGTGGCCCCAAAGTGGGAGCATTGGAACTGGGCAAGTCTGAATGGTGCTGTTTTCCTGAGGCTTTCTCTACAAAATCAGCGAGGTTCCCGGTGCAACTGCTCAAAAGGCTTTTGCAGCTATTTGGCCTTTTCTGTCCTTCATTGTTTTTTTCTGGTGAGCAGAAAAGCAAATGCCTTTTCCCAGGCTTTGAACTGTTTACAAGGGTCTCAGGGCCTCCTTTCCTGTGAATTTTAATTTTAACATTTAATTTGCTGGTTTTGTTTAAGTTTTCTTGACTGCCTTGAGCACCGGCCGGAAAAAGAAGGGGGAAAATAAATTGAATCAATGAATAAAATAAAGCACTTGTGAATGTGTATCTGCTCATAACGTCTCCAAACTGCATCTTCCTTCTTGGGTCACCAGCTCAGAAGATTCCATGGAAATACGGTCCCTTCTCTTAATGCATTTTTACGATGCGTTGCTGTAATTAGGGTGGAAAAAGAGTGCTGTGCAGTCCAAAAACTGGCTGCTGGCCCTTGGAAGGCCAGGTTGGCTGGCTCTGTGTTTTGCACTCTCATCTTTTGGTGCCTCCCCACCCCCAGAGTTCCTGGATGAGGTTATGGTAGGTGCCTGTAACCGCTACAGTGGCCTCAGCTATGCAGAACTGCCCACCCTCTTCCTGGAGTTTCACGGCAGTCAGCAGAGCGTGGAGGAGCAGGTACGAGCCACAGGTACGTCCCACACGTAGGGGCCGGGGAGGGGCACGCGGGACGATGGCGGCTGGGCTTGCACTGCATACGAAGCCGTCCGCTTTGGTTGGTGTAGGCTTAGCGAGGCGTGGGGCTTGGGCGATGTGCAGACCCAGGTGCTTCTGTATGATTCAGTAAATCAGGGTTAAATCACCAGGCCAGGTTGCTGTGGGTGGGAGAGATGGGGTTTTGATGCAGGTCTACCTTTGCAGAGGAGATTGTGCGGTCAAATGGCGGTTCGGACTTTGCGTGGGCCCGGGAACCGGAGGCCCGCGGACAGCTATGGACGGCTCGGCACAATGCTTGGTATGCAGCTTTGGCTCTTCGCCCTGGCAAAAAGGTGAGTCGGAGTGGGCTGGAGGGCAACCGGGTATCTTGAAGAACAGTCTCGCACTTGCAGTTTGGCTCACTTTTCTGAGAGCTCTAGAATGATCCCCTTGAGCTTTTCTTGCTTCCAGTTCGGAGTTTCAAACCTGGCTGATGATCTTGGTTTAGGGCAGTGTTTCTCAACCTCAGCAACTTGGAGATGTGTGGACCTCAACTCCCAGAATTCCCCAGGCTGGCTGGGGAATTCTGGGAGTTGAAGTCCACACATCTCCAAGTTGCTGAGGTTGAGAAACACTGATCTCCAGTACTCCACTCCTCCCCAGTAATGCCTGCCAGATGTGTCCAACCTGAATGCCCAGAACTAGAGTTTAATTACCGTGCAGCCTGAGGATTCTGGAAGTCAAAGTCCTGCAGGGAACCAGACTGCAGAAGACAGAGCTCCTTGGCTTAGGTTGGTTTTTAAGCCAGTTGAGCATCTGTTCTTTTAAGACTGGATGTCTGGCATTGCTGCAGATGCCTGTGTGGCATTTTGATCAGCCTGTTGTCTTGGTGGGGCTTGTAGGCTGATAACCTCATCGAAGCAGGTTAGCTGGGTGGGTTCTGTTGCTTTGCAGAAGTCTAGGAGCTGATGCTTTCCTTTTTTAAAATCTGCATTTATGAATAATTAACAGTCCAGTAGCGTGGATAGAAAAGCAGATGCACGGAATCTTGTTTAATTAAATTATATGGGAATTTGAATCATTATGTTTTTGTTGTGCATAAATAATAATTTTAAACAAATTGGAACGTTTAAACTAATCATCTTCTGTACTATTGTAATATGGCTGACTTTTTGGTGTCAGTTGTTCCATTTCAGTGATTTTTCCAACATATTTGCTATCATCGAAATATTAAAATCCCTTCCTGCTTTCCAAGATCTTGTTACTACAGTGTGCTGCAACCCACAAGAAAACTATCTATGTTTCAAAATGCTGTTTGCATTACCAAAAAAACCCTTATTAAGGCCACCTTAGGATCTCTCTAATGGCCTTGAGTAGTGACTGGTCCTATTTTAATAAACATTTCAGTCTAAAAAAACTGTACAACTTTACAAGATTTCTAGCATAAATCCTACGTGCTGGAGACAATGTAAAGAAGTACCGTAACGTGAACTTATTTCTTTACATTTTCTGTGAGGCTTTTATGTACAAGAATTTATCATCGTGAGTTTCCTTGCTGTTAAGTATCATCTATAAAACATTTTCATTGAGTTTTTCCTAATTTTGACTGAAATTAAAGGGGTAAAGGGGCCTTTATATCTCTCATGTTGCTTTTAGCCCATTCAGAAATTAGTCTTTAGCAGAACGTTATACATTTTTGAAATTCTCCCTACAAGGTTATGGGTTTAACTTAATTTCAGACTCAGGCATAGCTCTAGTTGTTTGCCTTTTAACTGCCGGGAGGGATTTGGTGCCCGTGTGCTGCCAAGGAGCACAGAAACGCAGGTCTGCGCACTCTGTTGCCACCCTTCCCCCTCCCTCTCTGCCCCAGGGCTACTCCACAGACGTGTGTGTCCCTCTCTCGCGCCTCCCTGAGGTCCTGCTAGAAACCAAGGAAGACCTACTGGACTCCAAGCTCACAGGTGAGCTGATGCCAGGAACGTGGTTTGGGCACCGCGGCTGCAAGGCTCTTTGGTGGCCCAGCCCAGGAGACGGGGAATTGGCCAGTCCCTCGCCCCCCAACAGCAGATCCATGGGATCCAGTGCTTTCATCAAAACGATGAAAGGGGCATGGTGCCATCACAACACACGCTCCGTCTCTCTTGTGCACACATGCAACATCACAACACACAAAACAAGCAGAGCTTTCTTGTAGGGGTACTTCAGTCCTTTATCCACTTGCTTCTGATGACCATTTATATTTATGCCCAATAATAGTCTAGTTATGATCTCAAAGGAAAAAAGATGTATCATCTTTAATCCATCTGCCTTCCCCCATAGAATAAAATATGAAGCATTCATGTGACACCTGAAAAAAATAGCTGATGAGGCTCAGAGACCTTTTGCTTTGCTTTTTTAGGGTTTTGCTTTAGAAAAGAAGTTTTTTTAAAAAAATAGTTCCCT